ATTATTATTAGTAGTAGTAGTAGCAGTATTACCATCGGTTTTAATACTTATATTCTTTTGTAATGCAAGAATTTTCTCTGGGGTGACTGGTTCTCCTTCACCTGGGGCTCTTGACATACAGGGTGTCTACAAACTATTCCTACACGTGACACAGATAACAATACATATACTTCACATAATAGTACACAGTTAGATAAATATGTACATAATACATATACAATATTAAACATGATATATCACACGTAGATCAGTTTATACATATAATATTTCCCATAGAAAACATATTAGAACTCTCATAATTTATCCTCGTGATTTCTAGAACACTGTGTATATATATTCAGATCAAGGTTGTTTACTTCTGGTTGATGGAAAAAGTTGAGTGAGGTGGGCAACTTACTATCACTTACAATAAGAATAATTATTTTCATTAAATCCTACTTTTATAGACGTGTTTATAAAACATTTTTCTCTTCGTTTCGTCTAAAGTGTTTTAATATTTAGTATGAAAACTATGTCTTTACATTTTGAAATTGATAAAAATCTCAATAAAAAAAAAGTTTTTATGTTCACGAAATCAATTATATTTTAATATAATATATTAAAATCCAATTGATTGAATATGAGTAACAAATAAAACCTCTATTATAAAACTCTCTGTTCTTATAATCCTATTGACTCATTTTTATATAGTTTCTAAATGAATTCCAACATTAATAAAAGTTATTTATGAAATAGACTACTCATACTAGTACACATCTGGAATAAAATGAAAATTAACTCAATAAACAGCTGTAATGCCTCACAATGTTAAAAGAATGTTAACTAACTGAAGATAAACTACTTAAATGTAGATCAGTTATAATTGACGGTGTGTCACCCTTCAGGATCTAAACTGAGCTGAAACCTTGAGTCAGTCTACTTTGGTGATGACTCATCTGAACCTGTGGCCTTCAACTTTGACATTATCACCCAAAAATTATAATAGCTTAAGAAGTAGTTTCGGAACATATACACACACACACACACACCATTATTTTCGAGTATATACCAAGGATTATCATTGTATTTTTATTCGTTCACGGGTTATAGGGACAGAGGAGACGAGCACAGTTTACTCAGTCAGTTAGGAATGGACTTTACACGCATGAGCAACGAGAGAAGTTTTTCTGAGTGAATCACATAATACTAGAGTGTTGAGTATCCAGGTTATGACCCCTGCCTCTACTAATGTTACGACAGGGGTCACCAACGTCCACCACCAGGTCATCAACACTCACCATCGGGTCGTTATCATTCATCAAGTTACCATCATTCATCAGGTCATCATCATTCACTACCAGGTCATTAGCATTCATCAGGTCATTAGCATTCATCAAGTCATTGGCATTCATCAGGTCATTCGCATTCATTAGGTCATTTATATTCATCAGGTCATCATCATTCACCACCAGTTCATTAGCATTCATCAGGTCATTAGCATTCACCACCAGGTCATTAGCATTCATCAGGTCATTGGCATTCATCAGGTCATTAGCATTCATTAGGTCATTTATATTCATCAGGTCATCATCATTCATCAGGTTATCATTATTCATCAGGTCATATTCATTCATCAGGTGATTAACATTCATCAAGTCATCATCAGTCATCATCATTCATCAAGCCATCATCATTCACCAGGTCATCATTCATCAGGTCATCATTATTCATCAGGTCATCATCATTCATCAAGTCATCACCATTCATCAGTAGACGAAAAACAATTAATTCCTCATCAATAAATATGGAAATAAACCAAAGAAAAAACCACATCCCAATTTTTAGCAATGATGACGAGCTGGAAATTTGAAGAAGAAAAAAAATCATTGTGAAAGGTGTATGTGAGAACAGGTATACAGACTGATGACCCGATTTGACACAACAGGTGAATCAACGAACGAGAAAACCCGAGGTAGATAACGTAACTCATAAGCTAATATTAATTATATATAAGTTGAACTCAAAGTTGAAGGGGAGAAACAATTAAGGTATGCATATAATGTAAAGACTAAAAAAAAATAAATGACAAATATTCATCTTAAATTCAGGAAAAATCTAAACCAAAGGAAATTAAGGAATGGTTAAAAATATATATGTAAGGCGAGAACTATGTTGGCAAAAAAACCCCCCAAAAAAACATGAAACTGGAGATCCTTGAACTGGTGTTACAAGATTAATGCTCCTGATATTGTGAAGAAAACAAAATCACTGCTATATATGTACTGTATAAACTCAACGCAAGGTAGGTAGGTCACTATATACTCGTTAATGGTGACAAAAGGACAAATACATACATAGATATATAAACAAATACTAAACCTCCCATCAAAAAGCGAGATATTTGTTTTCAGTTGCAAAAGTTAACAGGAAAAACAAAAGTCGCAGGAGTAGATTGATCTAAAGTGTCACTAAAACAATTACAACTTACAGGAAAATTATTCAACTGATGTCATCTGTTATGATACTGAATGTGTTTTGTTAATGTGTGATGATAGTAATTTACATCGAGAAGAAAGCGTGTAGTATCCACGTTAGTGTTACCTGTTTACATGTAGGTATGCAGTCAGTGCCACCTGTGTACATGTAAGTATGTAGTCAGTGCCACCTGTGTACATGTAAGTATACAGTCAGTGCCACCTGTGTACATGTAAGTATGTAGTCAGTGCCACCTGTGTACATGTAAGTATGTAGTCAGTACCACCTGTGTACATGTAAGTATGCAGTCAGTGCCACCTGTGTACATGTAAGTATGTAGTCAGTGCCACCTGTGTACATGTAAGTATGCAGTCAGTGCCACCTGTGTACATGTAAGTATGTAGTCAGTGTCATCTGTGTATATACTCATATAAGTATATTCGCTATATCAATCTAGAACGAAAAGAGTTACAGTGTTAATACTGGTCTGGTGTAACATAACCAAGCCTGACACTACAGGTCTTCTCCAAAGCTTTAGGTCAGTCGCCATCTGTATGTATGAGGTGGGACATTTACCTCTTTCATGTACACCAACTCCTTACCTCTAAGGTTTTTTTTTATCAACATTTTGTACTGCGTCATTCTCGTACCCTACTTGTTGAACTTTTGCGTAATAAGCTGCTGGATCAATGGTTAAAGGTATATTACAACCAATATTAGTAGAGTGGCAGTCAAAGGTAAAAAATATAATAATAATAATAATAATAATAATAATAATAATAATAATAATAATAATAATAATAATAATAATAATAATAATAATAATAAACGTGTATTTCTCACACACAGTGGTTCGTGGCATTGAGACTCCACCCAACACCTGTCATATAATTGGTTAGGTCAGACACGGTTTTAAGTTCTTGTGGTCATTGTCTAACAGCGAGTCATGCAGAGCAAACTAGGCGGTGTATACTCGTAAGTACTGGATGTCGGAACCCACCCTGGGATACATACATACATACATACATAGGTTATATAGTTGAGAGAGAAAAAATAATATACTGAGATAGAAAAAGATGGAGTTAAATATATCGTTAGAGAAAGAAAGAGAGCGAGAATAGGAGAGAAATGTACAAAATGAAAGTGAAAAAATATCGGATAATATATTGAGAAAAAAAGTGTGTAAATTGTAAGAGAAAGAAGCGGAGGGATATATAGAGAAAGAGAAAAAGAAGAAAAGAATATAGATAGAGAAGGAGATGACCACAAAATACGGATAGAGTAAAACAGATAAAGTGAAAGTACGGACAAGTTCTTGTAGTGGAAAACCTTCACCTTTTCACAGTTTTATACCTCTTCCACCCCTTCTCCTTCCCCCCTTCTCCTCCTCTTCCCCTCCTTCTCCTCCTCTTCCCTCCCTTCTCCTCCTTTTCCCCCTCCTCCTCCTCTTCCCTTCCTTCTCCTCCCTCATCTTCCTCATCTTAACTCTCCTCCTCCTCCATATCCAGTTTTCTCCTTCTCTCACCACACCTCCTTCTCTCACCACACCTCCTTCTCTCACCACACCTCCTTCTCTCACCACACCTCCTTCTCACCACACTCCTCTCTCTCACCACACACCACACCTCCTTCCCCTCACCACACCTCCTTCTCTCCACCACACCCTCCTTCTCTCACCACACCTCCTTCTCTCACCACACCTCCTCTCACCACACCTCCTTCTCTCACCACACCTCTCTCACCACACCTCCTTCTCACCCTCCTCCTCTCACCACACCTCCTTCTCTCACCACACCTCCTTCTCTCACCACACCTCCTTCTCTCACCACACCTCCTTCTCTCCACACCTCCTTCTCTCACCACCACACCTCTTCTCTCACCACACCTCCTTCCCACACCTCCTTCTCTCACCACACCTCCTTCTCTCACCACACCTCCTTCTCTCACCACACCTCCTTCCCTCCTCTCCGTACTTGAACCTGTACTTCCTCTCAATCCCTTCTCTCACCTTCCACTCTTGCTCTCCATCATCTGCAATTTCCATTCCTTTCCTATATTGCTATCTAACTATTTCCTCTGTTAGCATCAATTTCTCTTATTTTATTGGTAACCCTTAGAAGCATCCATATGTAACTGTCTCACACCGTCACAAAAACCTGCACTTTAGTTAACCAGTATGTTCGTCTGTCTGGATCTCAGGTAATTTATTATTATTATTATAATTATTATTATTATTATTATTATTATTATAATTATTATTATTATTATTATTATTATAATTATTATTATTATTATTATTATTATTATTATTATTATTATTATCGTCTCCTTTTTTATATCTCTGATCTCCCTCTTTCTCCTTCCTACTGCTGCTTCCATATCCTCTTTCGCTTCCATATTATTCCATTCACTTCTTCCTCCTTTTTCTGCGTCCTCCCCTTTCTTCCTCTCCCAAGCTTCCAATGACCCATTGGACGAAGAAAAAATTTACCTTGAACCCAATTTCTCATTTAAAAGGAGGGGCATAGTTGTGGGTTTACCACTCGTTCCCTGCCCACGGTGAGCTGGGGATACCCTTACTGGGAAAGAACATTTAAAGGTAACAGTAATAACTTTGTACCATAGAACATACAAAGTTGTACCGCTGAACAGAACACAAGCGACAAGGAGTCAGAATAGAACATTTAAAGAACCCTAAATGTCGTTATATTATAGAACAAAATTGTTATACAGTTGAACAGAAACAAGTTGACAAGAATAAGAATTGAAATTAATCTTATTTATTTCTCAGTTTGGTTATGTGGAGAACATCAAGAAAACCTTAATTTATTTTGTTTAAAATTATTCACTGTGGTTAAATGAACAACACTGCAGATAAGAGCATTAAAGAGCAATGAGTTAACTCAGTTGTGGGTATTGAGTTAACTACTTTGTTTCATCGTCAACTCCCTGAGTGTAATACAATACATAGAAGAACACTGAACGGTTAGATGAAGTTATACCGCAGGAAAGAACCCAGTTAAAACATAGAGAGTAGTTTTCTCTCTGGTTAGTGTCGACTGCCTCTAACTTAAACGATGTTCCTTTCAGTGGAGAACATTGAAGAACATTTTAGAACAGAAGTGAATCATCAGACACAGTCATAACGTTGATAACAGTTTTAATAGATGTTTAGCATCGTGGTATTATTGGTTACTGTACATAAATATACCAGCGTTTGAATGTCTCCATTACTGAAGAACAAGAAAATATCACCATAAAACACGTCCGTCAGGAAATTAAAGTAAAGGAAATATTATCACCAATGTGTAGACATACAACTTTATTTTATTTTCAATCAGAATTTTTATTTTACAATTTATTATACTCTAACATTGCAATGATATTATTCCTTCACTTCTTTGTAGCACTATGATAAGAGAGTGGTCTTCAAAATATCTGATTCCTCATACGTCTGAGATTCCCTTAAGACAAACCCATTATATATATATATATAATATATATATATATATATATATATATATATATATATATATATATATATATATATATATATATATATATATATATATATATATATATATATACATATATATATATATATAAAAGGCCCGTCACAGAAGCACAGAACAGTACAATATTCGAAAGAGGTTACTGCAGTTATGATTTAATGGTATGTACTGTACACTCGCCTGCACAGATACTTGATACAGTGACTCGGTCGTTTTGTGAGATTTGGCAACTCCGTGTTTGTTTACATAGTATTAAAACTCCCGGAATGGCCGTAAGGAACCTCGCAATAGGAGCCAGACTAAGGAGGCTACATAAGAATTCCACAGAGTTGACACATCTCACAAAACACGGGAACCACTGTGTTAGGAAAAATTACAAGCGACTGTACTGTACACCTCCTTAATTTCAAAGTGACGAAGTAATGTCTTCCTAAATTATGTAAATCAGATATAACCTAATTGTTTAGTCTGTGCTAAATTAACATTATGAGTATATTTCACGCTCTGTTAGACAACCTTACTGCTTGTGATCCAGACTTTGAATAATCTGCCTCAGACAACTACTGATGAACAGGAACAACAGACAGTGAAATATCCAGTCAGTAAGTCAGTCAGTCAGTAATCAATCGTTCAGTTAAATTTAAACTTTCTTGAACTGACTGACATAGTTGAAGAGGATTATTAGTGTCATTACTAATAGGAGTTACACATAATTGTTAAGTTTGTATATTTTGAAAGAGTATGATCACACAAGCTTACTTATACTTTGAACAGGCTTTAGTTTAGTATCGTATGTTGCAGGTGTTGATTCAGTGTGCTGTATGTTGCAGATTCTAATTTAGTTTTTTATGTTGCAGACGTTAGTTCTTTGTTGTGTTGTACGATGTAGATGTTGTCTTATTTTTGCATGTTGCAGTCGGTGACTATTTGTTGAATGTTGCAGATGTTAATTTTATGTTGTCTACTAAATGTTGATTCTGTGTTGTATGTTGCAGAAGTCAATTTTATTGTGTATGTTGCAAAAAATTAATTCAGTGTTACATATTGCAGATGAAGGTGTTGCTGGTGTTGACAGTGGTGGCTGTGGTTACCTCGGCTGAAAAAGTACATGGGGGAGGTCTGGCCCATGGTGGAGGTCTGGCCCATGGTGGGGGTATCGTCTCCAGTGGTCCCGTCATCCATGGTGGAATTGGAGGCCATGGTGGAGGTGGACAAGTTATCCATGGTGGAATTGTAGGCCATGGTGGAGGTGGACGAGTTATCCATGGTGGAATTGGAGGCCATGGAGGAGGTGGACGAGTTATCCATGGTGGAATTGGAGGCCATGGTGGAGGTGGACAAGTTATCCATGGTGGAATTGTAGGCCATGGTGGAGGTGGACGAGTTATCCATGGTGGAATTGTAGGCCATGGTGGAGGCGGACGCGTTATCCATGGTGGAAGTATAGGTCATCATGGCGGTGGAGGTATCGTCCATGGTGGTAGTTCCATAGTCCATGGTGTGGGTGGTGGAAGCTACGGTGACAGAAGAGTTGTCCATAGTGGAACTGTTGGCCATGGTGTTGGTGTGGCCATTGGCGGTAGTCTACCAGTCTCCTCCATCTCGCAAGGCATCGTAGGTGGTCTAGTAAGTCCTGAGAGAGAGAGAGAGAGAGAGAGAGAGATGTTCATACACTGTCTTAAAATTGCCACAGCTTGTCGCTTTATTATTGCCACTACTACAAATGCTCCAACATTCTTTCTCCATTTGCAAAGATCGAGCCCGGGTTTCTTTTTTTGGGGGGGGGGTTAAAATCGTTCCACAACTTTGATTCTCCAGAAGGTACGCCAAGCAGCTGGTACGTTGATTAGGAACTTAGAGAGAGTGAAATAGGATGCAACATTTATATCTTTCTTTGAGTAGCTAGGTCAACAACTATCACTCTCTTGGTAGTCGCTTATCTCTCCTTAAAGAATACAAAATTGGTATAAATATTTGTAAATTCTTTTGGCTGTCTTCCAGTTAGTTTGTTTTCGCTTTATAGAATGCAAAGTCGATACAAAGCTTTCACGCTCTTACATTTCCCTGCTTGTTGGTAGCCTGGTATCGAACCCTCATTTCGCGTACAAAAAATTTAGAATTGTGACCATTACTTCAATTTTTTTTTATCCCTTTCCGGGGATTGTAAAGTAACAAATTACTAATCATTTCCAACAAACATAGAAACCTTGTTGCGATTCTTTTATTCAGAACTGATGCAAATGCCCCACAGGCTACTCTCTCCCTTCTCCGGGTCTACATTACATATGAAACTCGGTCTCATGCTGAGATAATACAGAAATTACTACAAATATTCTACATTTTACTCTCTCATATTTAACTTTCTTAATCTCTTGCAGGTGGACTTGAGCAACGGCAACAGCGACTACCATTTCTCCTGGGTCCATGATGGAGCCAACAAGTACACGGGGCAGGACGCCTTCTACTACTGCAGTAACCTCGGCCCAGAATGGAGGGGCGTTAGTATTGAGGACTACGATGAGAGTGAGCTCATCAACTCCATTATCACCTACCGTGAGTAACCACTCATAAACACAACCCTAGGACATCTTATAATAGGGACTTTGAAGCTTGCTGAAAAGCCTATTTTTGGTGAGTGGGCACAGCTAGTACACTTGCTATTAGACATCATAAGATATCACTATAGGTGGAAACCTAGGAGGTGACAGGGCCAAATTTTAACACATCTAGACTAAACTAGGCTGCAAATAGCAGTTGAAGAAAACGGGAAACTTGTGAGAATGGGTACCTGCTCAGAAGGCTCCTTACTGCCCATGCTGTGCTACGGCGTACCTGACCATGTTTCAAGGGTCGTTCCTTTCCAAAACCTACATTAGGAATAGCAGAAGGATGGAGCCAGAGGAAGGGTGGAATTAAGTGTGTGAACTAGCTTCGCTCACTCACAAAAATTATATTTTTCAGCAAGCTTCAAATCCCCTATTATAGTGAAATGAACTTGCTAGTGTACTTACTACATTCAACAAGGAAGGGGGTGATAGGATGTAAGGGGAGCAGTGAGCACACGGAGGACCATTTTAATTTTATTTATTCCTTGATTAAGCAACATTAATTTGTTTTTACTAGCATGCTCAAGCTGTGAGACCCATTGCCACACAAGGTGCATCTGACAACTGGTGAGACAGGTATCTTGCTATGAAGCAGGAGGCCGATTTTCAATGACCTCCTTTCCGGACCTGTGAGAGGGCGTGGGTCCTCAGAATCGCCAATGAAGGTCCTATGTCGCAGGAACGTGGGGCCTTCCCAGAGTCAGCCTCCACTTTAACCTGCCGCAACCTGTCTGCCAGTCCTCTGACTGACATCGGGTGCCCCAACCGAGGATGAACGAAGAGGTGGTGCTGTCGGCCATGGCGGAGGGTCCCGACCGGGTAGAGTCGATGGTGCTTGCCCTCCACCTTCCATGCCGGAACAGCTACTGGCTGGAGCCTGTGGTTCTCACGTTCATTCTTCGCCAGGGAGATGGGAGAAGGTGCCAGGGACACTGCAGAGTCTCCTTGGGTGAAAGAAGTCCAGTGGTCGAACCTCGTGAGTGCCTTGAGCTGGGAGGACCTAAAGCCCCTGGCCAGAGCTACGAGGAAGAGGGTCTTCTGTAGTAGGCAGTCTTTTGACGGCCGGATGACCTCACCCTTGTCGATCACACTGAATACGACCCACAGGAGATCCTGAACACCTACACAGATGCATATGCACACTTCAGCTTTGAGGTGAATGTACGTAAGACTCAGATTGTCTTTCAGCCTGGCTCTGGTTCAGCCACACCTCCACCATCCATCCAGCTTAACGGTACTACCCTCTCTAATGCTACCCACTTTCAGTATCTCGGCTCTCACTTGTCCACCACCACGGACATCGATGAAGAGGTTCAACATTGGATCAGATGTGCATCTTAAGCCTTTGTCAGACTCTGTAGCCGTGTCCTCAGCTGTAGGGTAGCTGAAATTATCTACAAAGTTGCGGGGATATCGAGCAGTGGTCCTCCCCACCCTGCTATATGGCAGCGAGACATAGGTCACATACAGGAGGCATCTCAAGGCCCTTGAAAACTTTCACCAACGTAGTCTATGTTCCAACCTCTTGAGTTCGCTGGGAAGACAGTATTCTCGCTGACACCAACTGTAGGAGCATCGAGGCTAACTTTATCCATGAACAACTAATTTGGACTAGCCATGTTACTCGCTTGGATGACAGTAAACTGCCAAAGCAGCTACTTTACAGTCACCTAATGAATTGTGAACGTAATGCTGGCAGGTAACTGAAAAGGTATAAGTATAGTCTTAAGACAAACCTGAAAAAGTGCCTAATCGACCTCCTCACCTGGGAGACGATTACTCCACACCGTAACGCTTGGAGAAGCACCACACGAAAAGGTGTCAATACTTTCTAGTTAGCCCGCCTGCATACAGAGGCAGACAAGTGCCAACGCCGGAAAGACGCTGCCGCCGCCCCTCCCACACTAGATGTAGCCCCTCACAAGTGCAACATCTGTGGACGACCCTGCCGGTTCCGTATCGGCCTCTTTAGTCACCTCAGAGCTCACCAATGAAGGTGACATCCATGCTAACTCATTTCATTTTATCATAGCTGGATGATCGTAATACTCGACTCCGAGTGACAGCAAAGTGGTAGTAGTAGTAGTAATAGTAGTATACTGATAGTTGGAGCCCATTCCACCCCATTAGCACAGATAGTCATCTATGAACTATGCATGTGTCACCAGGTTTATTATTTTTTGAGAAGACTCACTCACCCAACTGACGTTTCCTGACCTGTCAACTGTGCCATCTACCACGATACCATTAGTTAATGGAGAAAAGAGACCGCGGTAATAACATCCCTGACCCATTTCCTTATGCACGTGCCGTTGGCTCAGAGTAGTTAGAATTTACTGTAGATATCATGGTAGTATCTGAATGTCTAACGAATATTTTATAAAGGGGAGGAAGGTAGGGCCCACAATGATTGCCTGTTGGGGCTCATGTCCCATGGCACAAAGGCACAATGGCCAGTCTGAGTTTGCATACAGGACACACTCCCATTAGTATCTTTTGTTAAAGTAGGTTGAACGTGAAGGGTCTCAGAGATCAACGTTAAGTCTCAAAAAAAAAAAAGAGAAATCTGAGATCGGGGTGAATTTATGCCTTTAAAAGTTGGTCACGCCAACGGTCACAGTAATATCAATACTGTAATAAATAAAAATTCTATACACCAAAGAAAATTTCAAATTTGTAGATAAAAATCCCCCCAAATCTGAACTTTCCGGCAGTTATGTGTGAATATGAATATATTTATTTTCTTTACAGACAAACTGAAGTACATCTGGACGGGTGGATACCTGAGTGAGTATGGATGGAGGTGGCCCTCTGGGAACGAATTCCGTGATCTTAACTGGTCCTACACTGGAGCGTAAGTCTTAGATCACTACTCTACTCTTATAAATATTCTTTCCCAGGTGTCCAAGAATGTTTAACTTGTACTTGAGGGTTCTTTAAAAAGAGTTTCAGCCTTCAAAATGGTTGGTGATTCCCTGATCTCGTATCAATATTTTTTTCTTTATTGCTCAAAGTTCGTACAAGATTTATGAGACTTTAGAAATATTTTAAGCTTGGCTTAAAGTATCATAATAGTTCTTCCTTCAGCTTGTAATCATCTGGAACTAAATTCCTCTAGTTACTCTTAAGTGTTGGTCTTCCTTCCATGAGTCGTAAACAATTGTTACACTGGAATACGTTCTCTGTTTTCGTTTGCCTTAGCTTAGTGAAATAGATTTTATGCCAAAAGGTAAGTAATAACAAAAAATAATGATAAGTATAGAAAGAAAATCCCTTTTCTCTCTTCGGTTTTTTGTATCCTCTGCTCTTACAGTGTTCTTTCGCTCCCCCTCTCTCTAACCATTCCCTATCCCTCCCTCTCTATACTCTTTTCTCTATATTTCCCTATCTTCACCACACAATGCCACCCTCCATCACCACTTTACCACCTTCTTTCTTCACAGCACTGGACTGCCACAACCCGACAACCGTGAGAACCATAACGAGAAGTGTCTGGCCGTTCTCAACCACTTCTATCAGGACGGCGTCACCTGGCACGACATTGCTTGCCACCACCAGAAGCCCATCATCTGTGAGCGTCCTAGGATCTACAGCCACTCGTAGATGTAACACACTATTCCTTGGAGGCTTAATTTGAGCACTGTCGTCTCCTATATATACTGCACAGGGTATATGTTCGAAGGCCCACCCACAGCACTTATTCTTCTCTACTTCAGATAGTTCTCAAGTACACCTGTATGGTGGTATATAAACTAAACTAAAATTTCATGTTGTTGTTTCCATTGAGTTGGTCCCCTGAAAAGAATACACACACACTCACACACCCAATATATATATTAGGGACTTTGAAGCTTAAAGAAAAGCCTATTTTTGGTGAGTGAGCGAAGATATCACCATAGGTGGGAACCTAGGGGGTGACAGGGCCAAATTTTAACGCAACTAGACTAAACTAGGCTACAACTAGCAGTTGAAGAAAACGGGAAACTTGAGAGAATGGGTACCTGAGCAGAAGGGCCCATTAATGACTGCGCCATGCTACGGCGTACCTGACTCGGTTTCAGGGGTCGTTCCTTTCCAAAACCTACATCAGGAATAGTAGGGGGATGGAGTCGAAGGATTGGCAGAATTAAGTGCTTGGCACTAGCTTCACTCACTCACCAAAAAACAGGCTTTTCTTTAAGCTTCAATGCCCCTATTTTAGTGAGATGAGCTTGCTCCCTTCCTTTAAATCATCTCTGAAAAAATATCTATTGCTTAAGTATTAATATTTCTTGTAATACCTACTATATTTACAGTACCTGCTTTTATTATACCATCAAAACCGTTTTATCGGAAATTATCATGTAAATCGATAAGAAATTTGCATTGCAATAAACATATTTGCCAACTAGACATAATCCTGACAGCTCTGTCCTCTTCTTCAACCTTAATACTGTACAACCCATGTTGTACTGCTCCCCCATTATACTTATGCTTTTCAATTCCACTAGGTTATGTATATAATTATAATATAAATACAAAAACTAACACAAAAATATTAATAAATAAATAAAATAAATAAATATTGAAGTGATAACCGTGGTAACATTATGAGATGTTCTTATTACCACCATGCTATTGTACTATTCCAGATGATACTAAATGTTACATTATACTTCCTTGAGATAAATGTATAGTATATATCAGGTGCTTAAAAGAGAGCTCAGGTTCTCAACTGGCTCAGCCATGTTAATATTGTCATTATTATCCACTCTGTATTTGCGTTTTTCTGACCAAATAAACTGTTTCAATTCAATTTAATTCGATGCTTGTGCACTTGTTACATTCCACAGGAAGGGGGGTGCTAGGATGTAAGGGGAGCAGCGAGCACACGCAGGACGATTTGAATTTTATTTATTCCTAGACTAAGTTACATTAATTTGTTTTTACTAGTGTTCTGTCTGTGGGTCGAGGGATGAGACCCACCTGGTGAGTCAGGTATCTTGCTATGAAGCAGGTGGTTGATTTCCACTGACCCCCTTCTCGGACCTGTGAGAGGGAGTGGGTCCCCAGGAAGGTCAGTGAAGCTGCTACACCCCGTACATCTTGGGGATGTGTGCCCTTCCCAGGGTCAGCCTCCTCTATAACCTACCGCAACCTGTCTGCCAGTCCTCTGACTGACAATGGGTGCCCCAACCCAGGATGAATAAAGAGGTGATGCTGGTGGTGGTGTCGGCTACTGGCTGGAGCCTATGGTTCTCCCGCTCAGGGACACTGTAGAATCTTTTTAGGCGAAGGAGGTTCAGTGGTCGAACCTTGTGAGTACCTTGAGCTTGGAGGACCTGAAGCCCTTGGCTCGCACTACGAGGAAGAGAGTCTTTTGTAGTAGGCAGTCTTTTGATGGCTAGATGGTGAATGGATCCTGGGGTGAGACAGACATCAGATAAATCCATGTCATGGTAAAAACATTCATAGGAACAAAAACATAGAAAAACAAAGAACATAGGGCCAGTGGCCCTTAGGCTAGGTTGTCAGTATAGTTCGCAGGACTGAAGGAGCATTGCTTACTGAGCCCAGAAGGGTGAGAACTTTCTCCAAGGACCAGATGGTACGGGGTGGTCTAGCAGGTGGTTGCTGGCGTCGGTGCACCCTAGGGGCCCTGCCAGAGGCGATGACTTTCCAGGAACCCTCCCAGGGGTCTTTTTTGCTCCCAGTGGTCTTCCCAGGGTCGCCTGCTCCCCCAGAGGCCCTGCTAGGGGCGATGGGACCCCCAGAAACCCGTCCAGGGGTGACGGCGACTCCAGGGGCTCTACTTAGGGGCGATGACGCCACCAGGGAACCTTTCAGGGGACTGTTGTGCCCCCAGGGGTCCGTCTAAGGGTCACTTGGAGGTCACCTGGCCATGCCAGGCACAGAGGCGCAACCAGGGCCCTCTCAGGGTCGGCGGTTCCCCCAGGGGACCTGTCAGGGGAGCTGGATCCACCAGGGGCGCTCTTAGGGACAACGGCAATCCTAGGGGCCTTCTCAGGGAGGGCGGCGTCCTCAGAGGCCCCTCCAGGAACAGCCGAGCTTCCATGGGCCTCTCAGGGACGGCAACGCTCCCAGGGAGCCTCACAGACACGGCAGAACACCCATGGGCCCTGCAAGGGGCGCTGGCAACCCTAGGGGCCCTCACAGGGACAGCCGTGATCCCAGGGGTCTTTCCAGGGACGGGGGTGCCTCCAGGTACGTTCCTAGGGACCGTGGTGCTCCCAGAGGCCCTGCCAGCAGCGGTGGCGCCTTCAGGGGCCCTTCCAGAGGCGGTGGCTGACCCCAGGCCTCTTTATGGGGCGCCACTGCTCCCAGGGACCCTGCCAAGGCCTGTAGCTCACAATAGGTCCTCCTAGGGGAGGCGGCGCCCCAAAACAATGGATAGTAGTATCGTACATATTGCATTCTTCCAGTAATCTCTTACTTAACTGTGATTGGTGGAATAAGAGGTAAAGTCATCAAATTACAGCCAAAAGGAAAACAGAGCAATCAGTTAGCACAACACCCCAACTTATGCTTTTCTCTTGGATACTTATTCTCCTTTTTATTGTTCAGGTTGCGATAATACTGAAAATGCGATGGGAAGTGTATTTATTTAACATCTATCTCCCGGAATTTAAATAGTGAAACGAGAATAAATATCCAACAGCAAAGCATAAGTTGAGGTGTTGTGCTGACTGATTGCTATGTTCTCCTATTGGCTGTAAGTTGATGACGTTACATCTTGCTCCACCAATCAATGTTAAGTAAAGGATTACTGGACGAATTCAAAATGTACGACAAAACTATAAAGTTTTTGGGGCGATGCCGCATGATGAAGGGCCCCTGGGGGCGCGGTCGCCCCTGGCAAAAGACCCTGCTGCCCTTGGAAAGGCACCCACTGCCACTAGCAGGACCCATAGCAGCACTGCCGGCCCTAGGAGGGCCCATAGGGGCGCCACAGCCCCTGGCAGGGTCTTTATGGGCAGTGGTGCCCCAAAGAGGTACCCTGGGGGAGACACCACCTCTGAAGGGCCGCTGAAGGTGCCACCGCTGTTGTAGAGCCCCTATGGGACGTCGCCGTCCCTGGGAACACCCCTGAAGGCGCTTCCGTCCCTGTAAGGGAAACTGGGATCGTTGTTGTCCCTGTGAGGGACACTTGGCCATGCCAGGCATGGAAGCGCCCCCCAAGGCATTCTCAGGGTCGGCGGTGCCCCCAGGGGACCTGTCAGGGGCGCTGGATCCACCAGGCGCGCTGGATCCACCAGGGGTGCTCTTAGGGACAACAGCAATCCCAAGGGCTTTCTCAGAGAAGGCGGCCTTCTAAGGGGGTCCTCCAGAAACATCCGAGTTTCCATGGGCCTCTCAGCGACGGCAACGCTCCTAGGGACCCTCACAGACACGGCGGCGCCCCCATGGGCCCTGCTAGAGACGCTGGCGACCCGAAGGGCCCATATAGGGACCCAAGGGGATTTTCCAGGGACGGGGGCGCCTCCAGGTTCGTTTCTAGGAACGGTGGTGCTCCCAGAGGCCCTCCCAGAGGCCCTGCCAGCGGCGTGGCGTCTTCAGGGGCCCTTCCAGTGGCGGTGGCTCCCCCTAGGCCTCTTTATGGGGCGCTACTGCTCCCAGCGACCCTGCCATGGCCTGTGGCTCACAATAGGTCTTCCTAGGGGAGGCAGCGCCCCAAAACAATGGATAGTGGTGTCGTACATATTGCATTCTTCCAGTAATCTCTTACTTAACTGTGATTGGTGGAATAAGAGGTAACTTCATCAAATTACAGGCAATAGGAAAACAGAGCAATCAGTCAGCACAACACCCCAACTTATGTTTTGCTGTTGGATATTAATTTTCCTTTTCATTGCTCAGGTTGGGAAAATACTGAAAATGCGATGAGAAGTATATTTATTTAACGTCATATCACCCAGAATTTAAATAGTGAAACGAGAATAAATATCCAACAGCAAAGCATAAGTTGGGGTGTTGTGCTGACTGATTGCTCTGTTCCCCTATTGGCTGTAATTTGATGACTTTATATCTTGCTCCACCAATCACAGTTAAGTAAGGGATTACTGGACGAATGCAAAATGTATGACAAAACTATGAAGTTTTTGGGGCGATGCCGCATGTGGAAGGGCCCCTGGGGGCGCCGTCGCCCCTGGCAGAAACCCTGCCGCCCCTGGAAAGGCACCCACTGCCACTAGCAGGGCCCATAGCTGCGCCGCGAGCCCTAGGAGGGCCCATAGGGGCGCTGCAGCCCCTGGCAAGGTCCTTGTGGGCAGTGGCGCCCCAATGAGGTAACCTGGGGGAGACACATCTCTGAAGGACCCCTGAAGGTGCCATCACTGTGGTAGAGCCCCTGGGGACTTCGCCGTCCCTGGGAACACCCCTGAAGGCGCTTCTGTCCCTGTAAGGGACCCTGCGATCGTCGTTATCCCTGTGAGGGTCACTTAGCCATTCCAAGCACAGAAGCGCCCTCAAGGCCCGCTCAGGGTCTGCGGTGCCCCAGGGGATCTATCAGGGTCTCTGTATCCACCAGGGGCGCTGGATCCACCAGGGGCGCTCTTAGGGACAACGGCAATCTTGCGGGCTTTCTCAGGGAAGGCGACGTTCTCAGGGGCTCCTCCAGAAAAAGCCGAGTTTCCATGGGCCTCTCAGGGACAGCAACGCTCCTAGGTACCCTCACAGACACGGCGGCGCCCCCATGGGCCCTGCTAGGGGTGCTAGCGACCTGAGGGGCCCTCACAGGGACAGCAGTGAACCCAGGGGTTTTTCCAGGG